AGTTACTTGTGAATGGCGGACAAGAGTCACTTGGAGCCAGAGTAGTTCCAAAATCACCCAGCCTAGGGCAACATAGGAGAATCCATCTTTAAAAAAAAATTAAATTATAAAAAGTTAGCAATGGTATTGCATGGTGGTGGGGCCCCATGAAAATTTTTTCCTTTTTTAGTACTATTTCCTGAATTTTCTTTAATTTTCTTATTAATTAGCAACGTAATTACCATATACATTTTTTTTGATAACAGAGTCCTGCTTTTGTCACCCAAAGGTGCAGTGGTGTGATCATCGCGTTTTTTTGTATTTTTTGTTTAGTAGAGACGGGGTTTCACTGTGTTAGCCAGGATGGTCTTGATCTCCTGACCTCGTGATCTGCCCGCCTCGGCCTCCCAAAGTGCTGGGATTACAGGCATGAGCCACCGCGCCCGGCCCCAAGGGCTCTTATAGTCAGCAGATCCCGCCAGGCCTGGGTCCTTCCCTTCAAGGCACCAGCTTCCCTTCTAGCCCAGAGTGTGTCTAGAAATGTCAACCGGGATCTACAGCCTGGAATGGGAGCCTTAGACTCATGACTCTGCCTGATGCCCTATCCTACTGCTGCTAGGCTGGTATCCAAGATGCAAGACAAAGTCCCCTTTACTCTTCCCTCTCCTCTCCTCTCCTCTCCTCAAGCAGAAGGAATGGATCTCTTTTGGAGCCACGAGCTCTGCAGCATGGGGCCGGGGGAAGGCTGGTGCAAGCACTTCCTCAACCACCCTCAATAGGTTGTGTGCCCCCCAAGTCCACTGGCTCCAAGCCCAGCTCAACACTAGGACTCACCTAGGAGTTGCAGTCCTTGCGGCCTAGACAGCATTTCAAGTTTACTTCAGACCCGGGAGCACTTTAGCCTGTGGTGGCAAGGCTTGCCAGAACTCACTTTCTGACCACTGGGAGGGGTGACTCCCCTCTGGTGAGAGCTGATCTGAATGCTCCCTTTATGGGTGGGCATCAGCTGAGCTCAGCCTGCTTTTGCTTTCCACTGTGGCAGGGCAGCACTGAGCTCAATCTGAAGTCTCAGAATCACTGCGCTCTCCCTTTCCCAATCACAGACTTCTCCGCACCATGCAGCTGCTGCAGGGGGATGGGAAGAGGTAGTGTTGGCAGTTCAACACTGCCTTTCTTACTCTCTTTAGTGTCACTGTCAGTGGCGTGAAGTTAAAACCAGGTACTGTGAATGCTTGCCTCGTTTTTGTTTCTTACGCAGGTGCTTTTTATGTAGACAGTTGTGGAATCTGGTGTTTCTGTCAGGGAGATGATCAGTGGGGCCTTCTATTCTGCCATCTTGCTTCACCTCTTCCTTGTAGCCTTTTCCTTCTTAATACAAGTACCAGGAAATGTGCGAAGGTATGTGGGTATAGAAGGAGGAGGCAGAATAACAATCTGCCATTTACTGAGCACCTATTGTGTCCCAGGCACTGTGCCAGACCCTTTACACTATTTCACTTAACCCTCACGTCAGTCTTTTCAGGTAAATATTGCTACTCCCCATTCATGTGTGAGGAAATTCGGGCTTAGAAAGGTTGTCTTTGGGGCTGGGCGCAGTGGTTCACGCCTATAATCCCAGCACTTTAGGAGGCCAAGGTGGGTGGATCACCTAAGGTCAGGAGTTCAAGACCAGACTGGCCAATATGGTGAAACCCCGTCTTTATTAAAAATACAAAAATTAGCCAGGTGTGGTGGCGGACACCTGTAATCTCATCTACTCAGGAGGCTGAGACAGGAGAATTGCTTGAACTGGGGAGGTGAAGGTTGTAGTGAGCAGAGATCACGTCACTGCACTCCAGCCTGGGTGACAGAGCAGCAAGACTCCGTCTCAAAAAAAAAAAAAAAAAAAAGTTCAAGTCAAATCTCCCACTCAACGGTCAATATCCCCTTTAGAACATCCTTACCACTCATTCAATTTCTGTTTAGTGTCAAAAAATCTAACTAGCCCATTCCATTTGTTATGAACAACCCAACTGTTCTTATGTTAAGCTAAAATCCAATTTCCTGTCATTTTCAACCACTGATCCACACTTGTCCCAGTTCTGTCCTCTGGAATGACAAAAAAAAAGATGATATAACTTCTACAAGACAGTTTTTTAAAGTCTTCATGTACTATTATGATCCTCTTCCTCTTAAATCTTCTAGAACTAAATTTCCCATATTCTTCAAATGGTTCAGTTCCTATGTGTTTCATTATTCTAATCATTCCCCTCTTAAGACAATCTAGCTTCTCAATATGCCTCTTAGAAGGAAATACCACAGCTGAACACAAAATTCCAGATCTGATCTGACCAATGCTGTTACTTCCTTTGTCTGGGTCACCATAAGCACCACAATACAAGACCAGTTGCAGGCAGCATATGATTCATTTCCAAATTAGTGGCACTGTTCAGACCACAAGTGCTCTGAGGGTTTAAAGGAAAAAGAGATCACCGTGGACTGGGGACCTCAAGAAATTTTCAACAACAAAAAAGTAAACTGTTAGCTGGGAAAGGAAGAATACACTTTAGATAAGCAGAAAATACAGAACGAGTATTTCAGGGGGCACAAGTGCAGAACAGAGCAGAGAGGAATAAACAGAGTTAGTACTAGAGCAAAGTCTGCATATAGATAGGCAAGAATAGAAGGCCATTTTTTTAAAGGAGGGCTGGCGTCAGAGTATTGAGAGCCTTAAAACCTGCAGGCAATAAGGCATGATTAAAAGGTAAGACAAAAGAACTGACTTCTTGAATGAAATGCTTAGGAATGATTAAATCAATACCAGTTTGCCAATTTCTATATCAAGTTAACTACTTTTTGAACTCTGACTGCATAGGAAGTTTCTAATTGATTCTACTCCAAGATAAATTGAAATTGAGTTGTAATAAATATCACTACATAGGCTGCTTTCAGAATATAACATTCCTACTACCAAAATATAATGCAAGGAATGTCATTTTAGAAAGATGTATTTTGTGCTGGGTGCGGTGGCTTATGCCTCTAATCCCAGCACTTTGGGAGGCCGAGACAGGTGGATCACTTGAGGTCAGGAGTTCAAGACCAGCCTAGCCAACATAGTGAAACCCTGTCTCTACAAAAAATACAAAAATTAGCTGGGCCTGGTGGTTCATGCCTGTAATCCCAGCTGCTTGGGAGGCTGAGGCATGAGAATCGCTTGAACCCAGGAGGCGGAGGTTGCAGTGAGCCGAGATCGCGCCCCTGCACTCCAGCCTGGGTGACAGAGTGAGACTCTGTCTCAAAAAAAGAAAAAGAAATGAAAAGAAAGATGTATTTCAATTCATTTCTGTAAGTTTTCCCAGAATGAATACCTTGCCATTCATTATGAGTATCTGCATATAAGGTACCTGTTTGTTTCAGTAATTAAAATCTTCTGGATCTCTATTCAAAAAGACAATGACCTGCTGATCTCTGTTTATCCAGATTCAAAATAGAAGAAACTCCACTAATGTAACATTAAAAAGGAAAGAAGTTAGCTAAATAGCAGAATTTCTACACAATGAAACCTGTCTGCTATTAAAACAAATGAAAACACCAGTAGTAATTTAAATTCAGTCAAACAGGAATTTCTGATTTACAAGTGCTCCTGCCTAAAGGGTCTTTCATAAGGACTAGCTCTGTAATACAGCGCGGCAGTAGAGAATTAAACTGTCAAAGAGACACAGCAAAGCCCAGCCTCTCCCAAATCCTGCTACTCAGCAGCAGGGATCTAAAGGAATAAATACATTCCCAGCTGCTGAGAGAAATGTCTTACTAAAAGCAAAGCAAAATTCTCATTAATGAAAAATCAACCATGAAAAATTGTATGTCTCATAATCCCCGGAAATGGCCAAATCCATTTTGGGTTAATGCAGATTTAACAGAACAGTGGAAGAGAACAGAGCAAAGCAGTTCCATTTGCCAGCAGCTGGGGGAAACACCGTTACTGTAGAAATCACAAACAACAACAATGCTTCTAATCTGTAGAGCCAAAAGAAATATGAACTCTATCCAGTAAAAGGTATCAGGAAAAGGCTCTAGTGAAGGCTCTAGTTGATAAATGCTCTCATTTACAATCAAGACACATCAGATATGATAGGCTGTAACTTGAATTTCCCGAGATCAAATTAAATGGCTAATCCAAACCCTGTGTTTTTCTGATCAGATAATCTCTCTGAAGTCACAGTACTTGCATTCATTCAAAACCAGCATTAAGCTTCTACAACGTCAGACACTAGGAATACAAAAACTAATAAGAAACAGTCTCTACCCACATGGAGCTTAGTTTGCATACCATGCCTCATCTTAAACCCCAAAGCTCTTGCTTTAAGATATCTTCTTAGATGGGTCAAGTGTCCTCAGGGGAAAAGCAATAATGGCCCTTCACCTTGAGTTACTGTGAGGCAAGCTAAAATAAAAATAAAAATAAAAATAAATCATACCTCTTATCCTCAAAAGCAGTCACCACATCCTCCCAAGTGGAACAGAATAATCATCTTAGCCTATACTACAGGTTAGTGTTCAGGGAAGTGGCAGGGCACAAGACAAGCAATAGAAGGGATGTGACAGCTGTACCACTAACGCATTCAAAGTGTGATAAAAAGAACCTGCTACTAAGCATACTGTAGTGTTACGGTGCAAGGAGGAGGAGGAAAAGAATGAGAGGCGGCCCACCATTCACAGGCACCAACCATCCGCGGTCTCCTAACTCGTCCACTCTCACTAGAGAACCTCAGTCACTGTTTAATAGGATCTGAGCCTGCCGGCCAACAACGTTGTCACATGGCTACCAGAATGGGGAAATAATCTTCCCTTGCAGGAACGTGGGGGAAAACAAGAAAGAGTGGAAACGACTCAAGCGTTTATAAGTGATTGTCAACATAATCGTCCCCCAAAGCACGGACGGGATGTAAAGTTTGGGAGAGACGGTCACCGGACGCCCACTGGAAGGGTGCGGGGACCTCTACGCCGACACCCCGCCTCCCCGCGCCAGTCCGCGCACTCACCGCGCACGCAGAGCAGTGACATGGCCGAGGCGCGGGCAAGCCTCTACCGCGCCCCACCGCGCCGGGGCGCCGGGCCGCTCCCTCTTTCCGCTCAGCAGGTGCCGCGACTGCTCCCGTTACCGGCCCTACGGGTCTGGCCGCTCCTCATGGTCCCGGTCGCAGGTAGCGTCCCGCCGCTGCCTCGGACCCGCCCCAAATCTCACCGTCTGAGCGACCTCCGGGTAGCGGTGAGTACCGACGGGCAGGCTGGGGACTGGGCGCGGCACCGCGACGCCATCGCTGGGAGGTAGGAGCGGCCGGGACTCCCTCCCGTCATTCCACCCGGGATCCGCGCGAGCGCCTGGGCAGAGCCAACCCGTGGCGCCCCGCCCCCCAGCCAATTAACTCACGCCCAGTCCACCGACCCCGCCCCCCCCCCCGCGAGCACGTAGGAGGCGGGGTTCCCTTCCTCTTTTTGAGATCCTGAAGTCAGCTGCGCCCACTAATCAGACTTACAGTAGGGAGCAAGGGGCTGACCCTCACCTGTGTGAGGCGGGAATGGAAGCCCTCTGTTCCTCCTGCATGGGCAGGGCTTCCACCCAAGAACAGATTCTTTTCATTGAAGGATTTCCACTGGACTTTCTTACGGTCTAGCCCTCATAGCTGACAGCCTGTAATTTTAAGTTAATGAGGTCGCACTGCACCGCAAAGTAGGTTTTAATTAGCAACTAGGGCAAAAGACAAAACTGAGTGGGTGTGAAGTATGTCTGGAGACCTCAGTTCTTATCTAGACCTTTTTTCATGCTCATCATTGTATGTCCAATGTCTGGAATAGTGCCTAATGTATGGTAACCAGTCCGTAAATATTTACTGAATGAAGTGTCTCACGTGACCGTGTGAAGAGACCACCGAACAGGCTTTGTGTGAGCAACATGGCTGTTTATCATGGGGACATGATGGCTTAGCTTGGGCTCAGAAGCCTGACATGAAGGATGGTTACCACGGAGGGATTCTGAGTGGAGATACCTCTGATCTTTGACAAATCTTCTATCGGTGCTTGGTACCAACATGAGCTAACTTAATGGCTCAAACCAACAGACAATTTGCTAAGGTCTGGGAGCACCCCCTCCAGAGAATCCCTGACCTCCCAAAATGTGGTCAAGATCTAAAGTTTATTTTGTTGTACAGCTCCCTTTTATTATTATTATTATTATTATTATTATTATTATGGAGTTTTACTTGCTTCCAACAAGAAAGGCAAATTTTCCTGCTTCCATGATGAAAGAAGGCAGGTAACTCCTTTATGGAGTTTGAGCTCACTTCCAACAGGGAAGATGAGGGTTTTTTTTTTTCCTGTTTCTAGGATGGTAGAGAGCCATTTTCAGCCTGAGACTCACTCCTAGATAACTAGCTGAATAGAGATTTTGTCTTAGCTAAAGTTAACAACCAGCTGGTCTTAATTTATCCTTACCATTAGAGTGCTCAGTGATCATATTGTTGGGTTTTTTTGTTTTTGTCTTTTTCCTACTGACCAACACTGCCTCACTTGGTCAAATCCAAGTGAGAATTCCGAATTATGGGTAACAAGGCCTCTCTAATTTGACAAAAATTCCTCACAGCTGCAAAAGAAAAAAGAAACAGAAAAGAAAAAACCGTGTATTTGGTTTCTGTGTTTGCTTCCTGGTCTTAAAAATTCACCTGTTCTTAGGCTGGGCACGGTGGCTCACGCCTGTAATCCCAGCACCTTAGGAGGCTGAGGCTCATAAGGATCATGAGGTCAGGAATTCAACACCAGCCTGGTCAACACAGTGAAACTCTGTCTCTACTGAAAATACAAAAAAAAATTAGCTGGGCATGGTGGTGGGTGCCTGTAATCCCAGCTACTAGGGAGGCTGAGGCAGGAGAATCGCTTGAACCGGGAGGCGGAGGTTGCAGTGAGTGGAGATCGCGCCACTGCACTCCAGTCTGGGCGACAGTGTGAGACTCTGTTTCAAACTAAAAAAAAAAAAAAAAATTCAACCGTTCTTTTGTTTACTTTTCTTCCACCCTATACCTCCTTCACCCTTTGCCATCTGCATTGCCAAAAAATCGTGACATGGCTTCTAATGACTTGAACCTCCTTATAGAATTTAGAACAAAGGTGCCACTCACCCCCTTTTGGGGTGTTCTCTTGTCTTTGTGGGATTTCAAGAGTCATGGGCGGATTCTTTTTTCTTTCTTTTGTTTTTTTTTTGGGATGGAGTCTCCCTCTGTCACCCAGGCTGGAGTGCAGTTGCGTGATCTGGGCTCACTGCAAGCTCCACCTCTCGGGTTCATCCCATTCTCCTGCCTCAGCCTCCCGAATAGCTGGGACTACAGGTGCCTGCCACCACGCCCGGCTAATTTTTTTGTATTTGTAGTAGAGACGGGGTTTCACTGTGTTAGCCAGGATGGTCCTGATCTCCTGACCTCGTGATCCACCCACCTTGGCCTCCCAAAGTGCTGGGATTACAGGCATGAGCCACCACACCCAGTCGGGCAGATTCCCTTAGGTCTAAAGCTCTGTTTTCCTCTATTGCATGACATGACCTCTTTGGCTTTGGGTGCCAGAGATGACCTTGCACTGTAAGAGGATTTGACCTTGGTGTGTATAATATTGTATAAAAGCTACAAAGTTACCAGAGGCTAAGCACAGTGCGGGTGGTTCACGCCTGTAATCCCAGCACTTTGGGAGGCTGAGGCGAGTGGACCACTTGACCTCACAAGTTTAAGATTAGCCAGGCATGGTGGTGTGCACCTGTAATCCCAGCTACTTGGAAGGCTGAGGTAGGGCAATTGCTTGAACCAGGGAGGTGGAGGTTGCACTGTGCCAAGATCACGCCACTGCACTCCAGCCTGGGCGACAGAGCAAGACTCTATCTCAAAAAAAAAAAAAAAAGAATCCTAATTCTAGTTTGGAGATGCATTCTGAAGGATCCTCTCTATTGCTTTTTCTCCCAACATTAATCTCAATTCCGTTTGTCTGTGTGTATTTGCGTGAGGAACTGAACTGTTGCTTTCATAGGTATATGAGAGACTGAATTTTCTCAGCTCCAAAAAGAAAGGGCATTCGCTTCTCCCAGCTGATAGGTGCTCCTGAGTGACTGCGGACTTTATGGGAGTGTCTGGAAGTTTGACCCCCTACGATGTGCAGCAAGCAGTCCTGCAGGGAAATCCACAACAAAAATTAATTTAGGCCAGATGCAGTCACACACACGTAATCCTAGCATTTCGGGAGGCCGAGGCAGGCAGATCACTTGAGGTCACAAGTTCAAGACCAAGCCTGACAAACATAACAAAATTCCATCTCTTCTAATAATACAAAAATTATTCAGGTATAGTGGTGTGTGCCTGTAACTCCAGTTACTCAGGAGACTGAGATGTAAGAATTGCCTGAACTCAGGAAGTGGAGGTTGCAGTGAACCAAGATTATGCCATTGCACTCCAGCCTGGGCAACAGAGTAAGACCTTGTCTCAAAAAAAAAAAAAACTTTTTAATTTAAAAACTGGCTCATCCAGGAAACACATTGAAGGGCTGATCACCCAGTGTTTTGAGCCCTCTCAGAAGTCATAAACCTCTGGAGAGAGAAACTGAGACATGTAAGAGGGTGGAAGCAATTCAGTGGTGGCACATTGTGGAGTCCTGCCCACAAGCAGCACACAATAATCCACCACACAAAAACTCTAGGCCAAGTTCAGTTTCTCCTTTTAAGAAAAAAAGAAATGGAAAACAAATAATCTAAGAATGAGAAGAAAACAAGGAGAATGACCCTCTTTTGAGCACTCTGTAGGTTTTATGGCACCTCTACTTCCAAAGTTTATGTAGAATGGAAATAATATGGTCTTTGTGCACATTTACTTTAAGGAAAAAGAGCCCTAAGGTCGACCTACAAACTATAGAGTTCCTAAGACCTCTTTTCTCTATTCTTCTTTTCTGCCTGCCCTAAATCTGCCATTATTTTCTATTAAGATAAAAACCACAGTTTTGATCCAACAAGTTCTTTTTGCAAACCGGTAAATTTGTATTTATCTCATGACTAAAAGTTCTGAAGGAAAAGCTATAGGTTGTGTGTGTGTTTGTGTCTGTGTGTGTGTGTGTGTGTGTATTTAAAAGGCTTTTATAATTTCTATAATTTTATGTTTAATTGGCAATTAAATCTGTTTTAATTTCCTTCTAGCACACCAGACTTTTTCTGTCCACACTTTATAATGTAAATTTTGCTATTTGGAGTTCACCTGAGTTGTTTTCTTTAATATGCAAATTTAAGGCTATTTAGCTGACAACTTCCTAGGGTTGTGAAACAGGTTATCAAGAATCTGAAAGTAGGGGGGAGTGGGGAGGGGAAAAAGAAGAATCTGAAAGCCTAAGGGAAAAAAAAGTTTTTTATGAATCTATAAGAGTTACCTCTAGGCCAGGTGCGGTGGCTCACACCTGTAATCACAACACTTTAGGAGGCCGAGGTGGGCAGATCACCTAAGGTCATGAGTTTGAGACCAGCCTGACCAACGTGGTGAAATCTGTCTCTACTAAAAATACAAAAATAACCAGGTGTGGTGGCACATGCCTGTAGTCCCAGCTACTCGGGAGGCTGAGGCAGAAGTCATGCACGCTCACTGCAACGCCTCCACCTCCCCGGGCCTTCCCGATTCTCCTGCCTCAGCTCCCCGCGCCGAGTAGCTGGGACTAGCAGGCGCCCGCCACCGCTCCGCCTGGCTAGTTTTTTTTTGTATTTTTTAGTAGAGATGGGGTTTCACCCGTGTTAGCCAGGATGGTCTCTATCTCCTGACCTCGTGATCCGCCCGTCTCGGCCTCCCAAAGTGCTGGGATTACAGGCTTGCGCCACCACGCCTGGCCCAAACCAATGTATTTCTTAAATGTATTTGGTTGATGTCTCATGCCTCCCAAAAATGTATGAAACCAAGCTGCACCCCAACCACCTGGGGCACATGTTCTCAAGACTCCTGAGGGCTGTGTCATGGGCCATGGTTACTCACGTTTGGCTCAGAAATAAATCTCTTCAATATTTTACAGAGTTTGACTCTTTCCATCAACATTAGTCAAAAGATTTTACTTATGTAAACTTGAAAAAGTTCTGCCTATGTTTTCATTTTTCCTAGCTCAGGGGTATTGTTTTAACCAAAGGTTGCAGTGGAATCAAGTATCATTCGTTATATCCCTCCGCGAATTATACTTCATAGAAGAGGCCTCACATAGTTGTGATAACAAATAATACACCAAGCACATAAAAATAAAATACAAAAATAAGATGCATAAGTAGTACTAGTGAAGAGATCAGTATAGCTGTAGAGCAGTGTACACACCGCTAATAATCATACGGAGCT